GGGAATGGCATGGCCCAGACCCAATCCTCATCTGGAGCCGAGGTTCTGTATACACTTACTCTAAAGAAAATGAAATCTGCTAGATGGCTACCAGAGCATTTGGTTAAACAGATTGATCAAGTTAAAGGAATAACAGATAACCATATAGATAACTCCAGGGACGAAAATTCACCCTGAGAGGCTTTTCCTGTTTTTCTTTATTTCAGGAATGGACCGGAAGGCTAAAATCTTACTGCTAGGGATACTACTGCATCTTTGCCTGCTTGTGGAAAGAGCTTTTGGGCCTCCTCCAAACCCTGGCGAGCTCCTGAGGGCCTAATTTGGTCCCCCATGCGACTGCCTTGCAGGAACGCTGCTGCTTAAAAGAACTTTTCGATAACCCCCTTTGGAGCAAGCTAAATGGGGTGCTGCCTTATCTTCTCCGTCTATTGGGCCCCTTACTTGGCCTTTTACTGATTGTGTCACTAGGACCTTTCCTCTTCAATAAGGTGGTGGCTTTCATCAAGCAGCAGATAGATGCCATTAAGATGCAATCTATACAGGTCCATTATCATAGACTTGAAATGGCCGACAGAGAATCTCACTGTAGCTGTGAGTCAGTGAGCTATGACTATGCCCGAGATGGCAAATAGTGAGTCTCAAAAACCTTGTCACCTTGGTGCGCTGGCCTGGATAGCCAGAGACGGGCAACTGGAACTCACACGCATCGCCAACCACCACCTAAGACAGGAACAAGGCCTTATGCTGCCTTGCTATTCCAATGACGGGTTCGGACAGGTTGGCACCGTGTGCAAGTTTCCTGACCTAAGACAGGCACAGTCCCCTCAAGGTATTATTTCGGCCTTAAAATTAAAGAAAAGGGGGACCTGTGGGAGACTATTTGCATGGCATCCATTTTGCTAAAATCTGCTCTGCCATCTCCTGCCCCAAGGCAGGATACCTCTGTATACAATGTTTCTGCATTCCTTTAAGTAACCATTTACTCAGCCAGTTATGCTCTGTTTATCTTTTGTTCCACCCGGGATATTTACGTGATATTTACCTGAAATTGCTTCAGGGTGGTTACCACAAACTTATCCCTTGGCAACAAATGTTCTTGTTTTTCTGCTTCTTGCCCTATATATACTGTGGATCTCCCCAGAATAAACGAGACTTGATCTGAGCCCTGTCTTGTCTCCATTTCTCGTGTCTCTTGTCCCTTGTCCCTTCTCATCCTCACTCCCCCTCTAGAGTCCTTGTTGCTCATTGCTCGACCTGCGAGACGGGTCAAGAAAACACCAATTGGCATTAGCCTAGTAGATGCTGCTGATGGGGGGGGGGGGGGTCATGGACAGAGCACAGTGAAGACACATTGCATTGTTCTTTCATTGTCATGGGCAGCACCTGGCTCCAGTACAGTGAATGACTGAATGAACAAAAAAGGCAGAAATAGCTGGGGAGAAACTATTCCCAAGGCAGAATCCTAGATTAGGACGCCTTGAACACAGTTTCTCTGGGGACCCCCCAACATTTTCCACTGAGCTGCCATGAGACATCCACTTATATTAACAGGCATCCTCTTCTAACAGTGAAATGCCTCTGGAAAGGGTGGCATTTAGCACCTGGTAAGATCAGGAGATCCCCACTCCAGCACTACTGATACTTGGGGTCAAATCATTCTTTGTTATGAGGCTGCCCTGTGCATTGCAAGATGTTTAGAGCATCCCTGTAGCAACTCTCTGAGTTGAGGGAACCAAAACATCTGAAATTGTCAAATGGCCCCTAAAGAGCAAAACCACCCTGGCTGGGAACCATGAGTGTAAATGAATCAGACTGCTCTCCCAAGGGAATGGGTATTTTTTTTTTTTTCATTTTTCTTTTATCCTCACCTGAGGACATTTTTGCATTTTATCTTCAGATACAGAGGGAGGAAGAGAGGGAAGAAGAGACAGAGAGAAACATCAACATCAGAAAGACAAATCAAGTGGTTGCCACCCACACGACCCCAACCAGGGCCAGGGAAAAACCGCAATCGAGGCACGTGCCCCCAGCAGGAACCAAACCTGGGACTCTCTTGTCCGTGGGCTAATGCTCTAACCGCTGAGCCAAACTGGCCAGGGTGGGAATGGGTATTTCTTAAAAGAAGTTCTAAGGAGGCTAGAAGCCTGGTGAGGAAGCACATTCCTGGGCAAAAGGATTCCACGTGACAAGTGGCTGCACCCACAGCGTATCTGTATTTCTATCTGTGTCCAGGAAGGAAGTCAAGTTTCTTTCTCACTCTCTTTCCTCTTTTGACTATAAACTAGGCTAACGGTCCTAGTCATGAACTGGGCCTGAATTGTCTTGGTCACGGTGTAAAAATGCATCTTGAGTTTGTGAAACGTTGAACAGAGCACACTGTTAAGCTGTGAAATATTCACATACCCATTTTATTGAGAAGGAAAAATCAAGCTTTGGGAAACAACAACATTAATATTGAGCTCCCAGGGGCAAAATGTTCAAGTGTCTGTTTAAAACAATTAGACCTCTGCAGACATGGGCTTAGCTATTGATTATCTTTATTTGTCATGCAGTGTGTGGCCCTGAAGAAACCTCTAAAACTCACTTAATTACTTTCTTGATTTTGAGAATGGGAGGCTCTGCTACCCATGGGGACCCACTTCCAAATGAAACAGAACACACATCCCAAGTAAAATCACATTTGAATTTTTGTTTTTCTCTTTGTAAAACTGTCTTTCTGCTGGTCTCTTCTCTTTGCTGGTGCTCACATAGTGTCACTGTATGTATGCCTGGCCCATCGCTTGACTGGGCAGACAGCTCCCAGTCTGGGGACAGAGACCAGTGTGCAGGTACTAAGGCAACAATGCTAGGGACAGTGAGAGGGTGCATGGCTGGGGTCTGCACTGAGGCGTGGAGGAAGGAGCCATCCCATCTAACCAAGGCAAGGTAAGTTAGGTGGAAGAAAGATGATCCCCGAAGCAAATCTGAGGGGAGGACAGTGGTAGTGGGGCTCAGGCTGGACACTGGAAAAGCAGCCTGAGTTGCCCAGGTGCAGTGACTCCAAGCACTTTGGGGCTTGAAGCAGGAAGTGTAAGATGAGGAACTTGGACAATTCATGGCAGGTACTCCCCAGAAACTTGAGAGCTGCATATTTATGATAACAATGAGTGCACAAGTTTTACCTATTTCTCCCTAAGGGTAGGGGTTGGTATTTATAGTCCTTGCATTAAGGCTTCAGCAAAGCAATGATAGCCAGTTCTTTTGTAGTTCTGAAACTATTGCTGTGTCCTCGCTCTTTAAACTCAGGAGAATTATGTGTATTTTGTGATCAGAACTTCAGAGTAATTAGTTCTCTCCTTCAGGTAATGGGGAGTGGGGTAGTCTATAAGCTTCAGGACACCAGTGTCCCTGAGTCTGGACCCCACAGGTATCAGACTGCTGGGATAACAGGGGGCCCACAGGGAAACCATCATGGTGTGATCAAAGCCATGTTAACAAGGCTGCAAGGCACTTGTGGACTGAACAGATGATCTGGAGAGATAGAAGAAGGGGATAGCAGAGGATGAGAGAAAGCAAGAAGGACTAATACTGGTAGCTGCCATAGCATGCCACCTCACCTCCACAGGTCTGAAAAGTAGCACACAAAAATCCTGTCTCTTTGCTCTCCCTCTGTATGTTGTGGCACAGAACCCTTGACAAACCTGAGTTCTGCCCACAAGGACAGCCGACCTGATGGCTCACTGAACAACTCTGCAGCCCCAATGAAGCACAACTCTGACCCCATAAGAGGTCCCAGGGGCCCTGGGCTGGGCTGCACCATACCCACTGGGACAGCAGTATCTCCACACTCATGATGGTCTTCCTAAGCTGTTACCAGACAGCCTTCATCCTGACACACACTCTGAGAGGCTCATATTGTGGGGGAATTTTGCCTCCTTTGCCCACCACTAAAGCCAAAAATTTGTAAGTGCCTAAATTCCCTACTCCCAAGCCTTTCTCTAAAAAAACCACCAGAATCAGGCCTGGCCAGTATGGCTGTGTTGGTAGGAGCATTGCCCTGTACACTCAATTCCCAGTCAGGCCACATGCCCTGGTTGTAGGTTTGATCCTCAGTCAGGGCATGTGCAGGAGGCAACCAATCAATGTTTCACATCGATGTCTCTCTCTATTTTTTTCTCTCCCTTCCTCTGTCTAAAATCAATCAAATAATAAAATAAAATAAAAAATATAAAGCCACCAGAATTATAGATTGTAAAACTAGCTCAGAACAGAAAGTTCCAGTGGCCTTAGGCGTACCAGGTACAGATCATAGAGCAGCTTAGCTGAATATCAGTGTTTTATTTTCTAGAGAATGGTGGTTCAGAAGTATCTAGAAACCTTAAAAAACCAACCTGAAGAGCCTTACTAAAAGGCTGTTCTGTGATCCTCCAACACAACCCAACCTGCCCTGATGCCCTGAACCCTTGCTGTCCTGCCACCACCACTCCTGCTCACTCACAGCCTTGGCACTCCTGAACCTCCTCAGAGTCTTAGAAATGCAGGTAGTGAACATAAGTGCATTTAAGAACAGGTCTCTTCATAACAGCATGGATGGATCTCACAGTGTAATGTGAGTGAAAGAAGGCAGACACACCAAAGAACACTTACTGTATAAATCTACTGTTATAAAGTTCAAAAGCAGATGAAATGAACCCATGCTGATAGCCACCCAGGCAGTGGTGATCTTCCTTGGGGTATACTGGAAGTGGGGCCTGAACGTACTTCTGGGAGCTGGTCATGTCTCTTTGTTGATTGGGTGCTGGTTACACAGGTGTGTTCAGTTTGTGAGAATTCAGTGAGCTGAACATTCATAATGCAATGCTTTTCCATAAGTACATTAACCCTCATTAGAGAATTTTCAATACTTCTGAACCATCAGGAGAGGCCGTCCTGCTTTGTGGCCATCATGGACACCCAGTCGCACTTTTGGAACCTGGGCCAGAGGTCCAGGCAGCAATGAAGAGGTCCAGACCTATACATACCTGCTGCAGCCTGTCCTCTTGCCTCCTGTTCTGACTTGGACGGTTGATGAAAGACCGCGTGGACACTTTGTAGTGATTCAGCAGGCAGACAATGACCACAACCATCACCGTAACCACCACAATGATGATGATGATCTGGGCAAACTCCAGCTCCGCTGTGATAGAAGAGGAAACCATGTTAACTATGTGTCCCTTTTCACCATCACTCACTCAATTCTCCAGACCCCATCTCCTCAAGACACTCTGACCATGACAACCACGAGGCGTTGAAGGCCTCTTGCATGAATCTGGTCCTCACAGAACTCCATGAGAGAAAAACTATTTTTTCCCCAGGTCTGCTGCCCAAGGCCACTGCCAAATTTTGACATTCTAATAACATTTAAATAAAGGGAGACCCAGGAATGGGGCTCACTTTCCAGCAGACCTTTGGTGCTCGGCCTAATCTGAGACAAAACTGTCTCTTCAATTTTACAAAGAGAAGAACCTTAAGAAAATGTATTCCATTGGCCCCATAAGACCTCTAGAGGTGCTGTGCTATAACTGACACCATTTCACACATGAAACTCAAAGCCCAGCCCAGTGTGCATGCCACAGGCTGACTGCCACATGGGCTATCCCTTCCTACTGGGCAGGCAAGCCCTTAAGGGCCATCTCTAGGGTATGAAAAGCTCAGTGATCTCCATCACCTAAACTCTGTTTCTGACAGATGACACCACACCCCCACCCTTAGGGCAGTTAAGTAAGACTCTCAAAACTGAAGATATTTCTCCCAGTGTAATCTCTCTAGGAAAGTTAAACCTGTCTTTAAATGAAGAATGACATAGCAGAAATAAAGAACACATTGGAAGGAATAAACAGCACAGTAGAGGAAGCCACAAACTAGATCAGTGAATTAGAAGACAGGGTAAAAAGAAAAAAAAAAAAAAAATCACCCAATCAGATTACCAAAAAGCAAAAACAATTAAAAAGCAGGAAGGCAGCTTAAGGAAACTGTGGGACAACTGAAAACATAACAACATTTGCATCATAGGATTTCTAGAAGAAGAAGAAAATGAGCAAGGGTTAGAGAATATATTTGAAGAAGGAGTGACAGAAACTTCCCTAGCTTGGTGAAAGAAAAAGGCATACAAGTTCAAGAAGCACAGAGAGCCCCAAGTAAGAAGAACCCAAAGAGGCACACACCATAACACATAATAATTAAAATGTCAAAAATTAAAGACAAAGAGAGAATCCTAAAGGCAACAAGAGAAAACCAACAGGTTATCTACAAAGGAACGCCCATAAGGCTATCAGGTAACTTCTCAATAGAAACACTACAGGCTAGAAAAAAATGACATGAAGTAATCAAGGTAATGAAAAACAAGGATCGAAATCCAAGACTACTCTACCAAGCAGAGCTATCATTCAAAATAGAAGGTGAAATAAAGAGCTTCCCAGACCAAAAAAAAGGCTAAAGGAATATATTAGCACCGAACCAGCACTGCAAGAAGTGTTAAAAGGACTGCTGTAATAAGCAGTAGGCTCAGGAAGCAAAACATAACAATAATGAACAAAAATGAGAATAAATAAGTACATATCAATAATAATCATAAATGCAAATGGATTAAATGCTCAGATTAAAAGACACAGAGTAGCTTAATGAATATGACTCATATATATGTTGTTTACAAGAGACCAACCTCTCAACAAAAAACTCATAGGTTGAAAGTGAAGGGATGGAAAAAATTTTTCAAGCAAACAGAAAGGAAAAACAAAAAACAAAAAAAAAACCTGGGGTAGCAATATTCATTTCTGATAAAATAGAAGGCCATAACTAGAGACAAAGAAGGCCACTACATAATATTGAAAGGATCTATTCAACAGGAGGATATAACCTTGGTAAACATATATGCACACAACATAAGAACACCAAAATACATTAAAAATCTCCTGGAGGACTTCAAAGGAGAAATCAACAACAGTACAATCATAGAAAGGGACTTCAACACCCTGCTGACATCACTAGATAGATCCTCTAGACAAATATTAACAAGGAAACAGAGACTCTAAATGATGCAAGAGATCAAATGGATTTAATAGATATCTACAAGGAATTACACACCAGAACTGCACAATTCACATTCTTCTTAAGTTCACATGAGACATTCTCAAAGATAGACCACATGTTAGGACACAAACTAAGTCTCTACAAGTTCAAGAAGATTGAAATCATAGCAAGCATTTTCTCAGAACATAGTGGCATGAAACTAAAAATCAATTACAACAAAATCATGTAAAAACATTCAAACACATGGAGGGTAAATGTCATGTTACTAAACAAGGAATGGATTACCAAGGAGATAAAGAAAGAAATTAAAAACTTCCTGGAAACAAATGAAACAACAACAAAATAATACAAAATCTCTGGGACACAGCTAAAGCAGTCATGAGAGGGAAGTTCATAGCACTACAAGCCTACCTTAAGAAATAAGAACAATTTCTAACTGATTTTCTAACCCTACAACCTAAAGAATTAAAAGTAAACAATAAGAAAAACCCAGAGCAAGTAGAAGAAAATAAATAGTAAAGGTCAGAGCAGAAATAAATGACATAAAGACTAAAAAAATAATTCAAAAGATAAACGAAACAAAGAGCTGGTTCTTTGAAAAGATAAACAAGATTGATGGACCCTTAACCAGACTCACCAAGAAACAAAGAGAGAGGACCCAAATAAACAAATTAATAAATAAAAGAAGAAAAGTAACAACAAACACTATAGAAATACAAAAGATAATTAGAAAATACTATCAACAATTATATACCAACAAATTGGACAATCTAGGCAAAATGGACAAATTTGTAGAATCACACAGTCTCCCAGAACTGAATCGGGAAGAGATAGAAAACTTCAATAGACCAATAACAACAATTGAAGATGTAATCAAGAAAACTCTCAGAAACAAAAGCCCAGGCCCAGATGGCTTCACAGGAGAGTTTCACCAAATATTCAAAGAAGAACTAACACCCATTCTCAAACTATTCCAAAAAATCCAAGAAGAAGGAAGACTTCCAAACTCGATTCATGAGGCCAGCATAATTCTAATTCCAAAAACAGATACACTACAAAAAAGAAAACGACAGGCCAATATCCCTGAACATAGATGCCAAAATCCTCAACAAAATATTAGCAAATCGAATCTAGCAATACATTAAAAAATTATTCACCATGACCAAGTGGGATTCATCCCAGGAATGCAAGGCTGGTACAATATTCGCAAATTAATAAATGTTATATACCACATAAACCAAATGAAAGATAAAAAACCACATCGTCATATCAATAGATGCTGAAAAAGCATTCAACAAAATCCAGCACCAATTTCTGATAATGCTCAGCAGTTTCGGAATAGAGGGGTCATATATGGACAAAATAAAAGCCATACATAAAAAACTTACAGCCAACATCATACTCAAGGGACAAAAACTAAAAGCATTTATCTAAGAACAGGAACCAGACAGGGATGCTCACTTTCGCCACTCTTATTTAACATAGTACTGAAAGACTTAGGCATAGCCATTAGAAAGAAGAAAACATTAAATGCATCCAATTTGGAAAGGAGGAAGTGAAACTGTCATTATTTGCAGATGACATGATGTTGTACACAGAAAACCCTAAAAACTGCATAAAAAATCTACTAGATTTAATAAATAAATTTGGCAAAGTAGCAGGATACAAAATTAACATCAAGAAAGTGATGGCATTCTTATACACCAATGATGAACTCAGAAAGAGAAACTAAAAAAAAATCCCATTTACCATTGCAGCAACAAAACAAGATACTGAGGAATAAACTTAACCAAAGAAGTAAAGGGCCTGTTCTCAGAAAACTACAGGACACTGAAAAAAGAAATAGAGGAAGATATAAAAAAGTGGAAGCACATACCTTGTTCATGGATTGGAAGAATTAACATCATTAGCCCTGGCCGGTTTGGCTCAGCAGTTAGAGCATAGGCCATGAACCAGAGAGTCCCTGGTTCGGTTCCCGCTAAGGGCACATACCTCGGTTGCAGTTAGTCCCTGGCCCCGGTTGGGGTTGTGTGGGTGGCAACCAGTCGATCTGTTTCCCTCCCTCTCTTCCTTCCTCTCTCCCTCCCACTCTATCTCAAGATAAATGCAGAAATGTCCTTGGGTGAGGATAAAAAAAAAAAAAAAAAAAAAGGATATCATTAAAATGTCCATACTACCCAAAGCTCTCTGTAAATTTAATGCAATCCCCATTAGAATGTCAACAACACATTGCATGGAACTAGAATAAATATTCCAAAAGTTTATATGGAACCATAAAAGACCCTGAATAGTCACAGTAATCTTGAAAAAGAAGAACGAAGTAGGAGCAATCACAATATCAGATATCAGATAATACTACCGAGCCACTGTAATCAAAATATCCTGCTACTGGCACAAGAACAGGCATATAGATCAATGGAACAGAACACAGAACCTGGAAATTGACCCAAGATATTATGCTCAATTAATATTTGCCAAAAGTGGCAAGAGCATACAGTAGCCTCTTAAATAGCCTCTTAAATAAACAGTGTTGGGAAAATTTGACAGCTACATTTAAATAAATGAAACTAGACCACCAACTTATACCATACACAAGAATAAACTCAAAATGGATAAAAGACTTAAATGTGACTCGTGAATCCATAAAAATCCTAGAAGAAAATGTAGGCATCAAAATTTTAGACATCACACGCAGCAAAATTTTCACTGATAGAACACCTAAGGCAAGAGAAACAAAGGTAAAAATGAACACATGGGACTACATCAAACTAAAAACCTCCTGCACTGCAAAAGAAATAAGCATCAAAATGAAAAGGGAACCCAGTATATGGGAAAGTATAATTGCAAAAAATACATCAGATAAGGGGTTAATTTCCAAAATATATAGAGTACTCATGCAACTCAACAGAAGAAAGACAAATAATCCAGTTATATTGGGCAGAATGCTTTGCCTATGTCCCTCAGTGGTTGAGCATTGACCCATGCACTGTGGTCGCTGGTTCAATTCCTGGTCAAGGCACATGCCCATGTATGAGCCAAATCCCCAGTGGAGGTTTGGGGGAGGCAGACAATCAATGTTCTGTCTCATTGATGTTTCTATCTCTCTCTC